ATCTTTAACACTTACTTGTTGCCGCTTTATTTTACTTTTATGTTTCATCGTTTTTTTTTTTTTTTGTGGATGCGGTCAGGAGGTTTGTTGTTGTTTTTTTATTCTGCTCTTGTGGAAATTGTGAGGCGGTGTCTCTCTGTGTATTTCTGTCTGTGCTCACGCCATGTCTCTTGAGCCAACGCTGAGGGACTTGTTGCATTCCAAACTTCAGTGGATCTTTGTTGGTGGTAAAGGCGGGGTTGGCAAAACGACCACTTCTTGCGCCTTGGCAACTCTCTTTGCCTCCACGCCCGTGCACGATGCGGTGACGAATACGACACGCCCACGAAGGGTGCTGCTTATTTCCACGGATCCCGCGCACAATCTTAGCGACGCCTTCAGCCAGAAGTTTGGCAAGACGCCGGTGCCTGTGAATGGCATGGAGGAGACGCTTTTTGCGATGGAAGTGGACCCAACGACATTCACTCACGGAGGATTTGGCGCCATGCTCGGGTTTCCGGGGCACATCGCAACAGACGCGGACGCGCCATCGCCATTTGCGGCGCTTGGCAATATTCTGAAGGAAGCGGCGGGGACGCTGCCTGGAATTGACGAGCTTTCGGTGTTTGCGGAGATTTTGCGTGGCGTTCAGCAGCTTTCATATGACGTGGTGATTTTTGATACCGCGCCAACTGGTCACACGCTGCGTCTCCTTGCTCTGCCCCACACGTTGAACTCTACCATGGAGAAGCTGTTGTCGGTGGAGGGGCTGAACACTTTGATTCAGGCTGCGTCAGCCGTTCTGTCATCTACGACCAACCTTGGCGACATGTCGTCGCTGATGCCTGCTTTTAAGCAGTGGCGGGAGAATGTGCAGGAGGTGCAGCGGCAGTTTACGGATGCTGAAAAGACTGCCTTTATCTGCGTCTGCATCCCTGAGTTTCTTAGCGTGTATGAGACGGAGCGATTGGTCCAGGAGCTGATGAAGTACGACATCAGCTGTGATAGCATCGTGGTCAACCAGCTCGTTCTGAAGCCGTCTAGCGAGCCAGACTGTCGCATGTGTAATGCCCGACAGAAGATACAGTCAAAGTATTTGGCACAAATTGACTCTCTTTATGAGGACTTCCACGTGGTGAAGATGCCACTGCTGAGCGATGAGGTACGTGGGGTCCCTGCGCTCCAGCGATTTGCGCAATTCCTGCTGGAGCCGTACGATGCCGATCGTCACGGGTACATTGACGTCTGCGGAGCTGCATCGTAAGGGAGGAGCACCGAAAGGACGGGAGCAGATGGAAGAAAAATGATGTGGACGCGAAAGAGACAAATATACGAGAAGCATATTTGAGCCGGAGAGGGGAAAATAAAAGAAGTTAAGAACGACTATACACACACACAAAAAAAAAAAGAAAAAAAAGAAAAGAGAAGAAAAGGAGAGAAAAAAAAAAAAACGACAAGAGGAGGAAATTCGATTTGTGTGCTTTTATTACTTTTAAAATTGTCGCCGGTGGCGTATCTCTTTCTTTCTCTTTCTTGGCTTCTGCGTGGAGTCGCTCGCTCCCTTTTTTGAGGGTGAGGGTGATGAGAAGAAACAGCTGCGATGGGAAAAAAATAAGGAGAGGATGGGGATGGACCCCAGAAGGGGGGCGTGCAATTAAGGTTTATTATTATTATTATTTAATATCTATTTCATTTTTTTTGTGGTTGTGTTAGAGTGCCACCGTCCCCTTGAGTAGGTGTGGATTGCTGCTCCGTATATCTAACCAAGGGAGAAGATCCACATCTTCTGTGTCCATGAAGGATTACCATTCGTCCCCGCCGCTGACGGTTTATCCTCCCGCATGCAGGATGGGAGATGGTGCTGGAAGTTGTGCCATCGTGGCGTCACCCGTCTCTCAGCCTTGCGAGGGGGCTGTAATCGGCGATGACTATGTGCGGATGCTTCTACACACCATCCGTGAGCACGATGCGGAGAAACTGGCGTTGGCGCAGCGCATTGAAGATTGTGTCAAGCCTGAGCGGGCGGAGACGCAGCGTTTACGTCGCGAATTAGCCAAAAAGGATCAAGAAATTGGCAAGCTACAGCAGGAACTTTCAGAGACTTGCCTGATGCTCCAAGAAGAGCGGGAGAGGGCGAATCGTCTCCTGCATGAGAACACAGTACTACACGCTCAGGCAGGGGATGATCGGGCACGTATTGCTTCACTTCTGCGCTTGCGTCAACAAGCGAAGGCGGCACCCGCAGCTGCCTCGTCGGAGGAGGATGCAAATGCGGATGGGCGTCAACAGAGGCAGGGTAGGGACAGAAAGCAGTCGTCTACTCCTGTTGCTGAACAATCGAGATTCAGCTCGCCGTTCCACCGTAAGAGTAATAAGTCATCTAATAGTTTCGGGGGTGGCGGGACGATGAGCCTCCGGCAGGCTGTGCTTGCTCCGCCGCCAGCTGCGGGGGAAGAATTGCTCAAATTAGAGGCGGATACCGCGGTCCAGGAGGCGTTACAACCCCCACGGTCTTCGACTGTTGTCACTGCACTCGGTGAAGAGGTGCGTATGCTTCAGGAGCAACTGGATGCTCAGCGTGCTACGTATGAACAGGAACGAAAAAAGCGATTGCTTGAGGAGCGTGAACGCGCGCGTCGGCATGCGGAGGATGTCGAACGTTACCTCAGGACAATCGACGACCTTCACGCACTGCACCAGAAAAGTCTGGCCGATCTCATTCACTACCGACACGATACACGCATTGAACAGCAGGAGATGCATGCGACGATTGAGAAACTTCGTGTCTCTCTTGATGAAGCCCTCACAATTGTGGAAACGGATCGTCGTCGGCATGCTGCAGACCTTCAGTTGATGCAGCGGCGGATGGGCGAAAACACTGATACCGTCATGCGGCGGCTTCGGCAGGAGCTGGAGGAATGTCGTGCATTCTCATTGGTGGAAAAGGAGCAAAATGCCGCTCTGCTCGCCGCGCGTGAGGCGGAGATTGAGAAGTTGCGAGGGGAGCTGAAGCGTGAAAGGAAGCGACAGAGACGCGTTGAGGAGCGACACCGGCTGGAGTTTGAGGGCGTGAATAGTGAGGTGAGCCTCATGCGGCAGGCGGTGCGGGCCATGGAGAAGCGAGTGTACTACTCACAGTATCACAGCCTCTCCGCGTAGACTGCAAGGGAATACGACCACACAGCGAATAATGAGAGAAGAGAGAAAATGGAAACTTAAAAAGATTTCAATAAGTAGAGATTAGATTGTGTGATGAAAGAAGATGTTGCGTGTTCATCGGTATGGATGGACGGTGTTTTGTTTCACCCGGCCAAAGTGTTTTCTTGGGCCTACCATTTGTCAATTTGTACCACTGCTGCTGATGCTGCTTTCTTTTTTTCCCCCTTTTTCCGTCGTTGCTGTTTTTTTCCTTCTCACTGGGTGGTGGCTGTGGGAGGCATGTGATGATGGCCACGGCACCTTGCACGCATGCAGTATATATATATATATTATTTTGTTTTTTCTTCTTTTTTGCCGTGTATATTTTCTGTGCGAAAGGAAAGGAGGTAGCGAGGGGCATTTGCAAGAACACGAACGAGGGAAGGGGAGGGTGGTTTGGCAGCCTTCTCTTCCGGTTTCCTCCGTGGTTCACTGTGCATACACGTGCACGTGGGGGGCTACTTCCTCGCCGTCTGTGCAGCTTCCGACAGAAGCAGGTGCTCTTTTGAGAGCGGATTTAATTGTAATTTGTGATCCAACAGCAGGCAGCTGCCAGCAGCCGCGCCACATCATCGCACCGACCCTTGTGGACCCACACGGAGCAGGAAAAAAAAAGGGGAGGATAAAAGAAGAAAAGAAAAAAAAAAAAAAGAGAGAAACACACACTTCACAGGGGCAAAGAGAGAGTGTGCGGCGAAGAAAACACGTGTCAAACCAACAACAACAACAACAACAAGAAAGACAGAAGGAAAGGAAACGAAAGGGTTTAAAACAGAGAGGACAAAGAGAGGGAGAGGGGAGGACGACAGATTTACGCGGCTGAAAAAAGGAACGGAAGGTAAAGAGTGGGAAAGTGAGTCACGGGGGAAATTAAAAAAAAAAAAAAAAAAAAAAGCCCATCGCTAAATAACAGAAATAGGGAGAACAACAAAAAAAAAGGGCAAAAATAAAAGGGAGGACAAAAACAGCGGGGAGCCGAATGTCTGTTAAAGCCTCACGGCGATGCAATCGACTGATTGTCCTTTTTAGTTCTATCAACGACGTGACGGCATGGCCATTTTGGAAGTTTCTGCAGATGAAGAAAGTAAAGGGTGTAACGGATCTTTCCATACTTGCCTTTAACAGCCAGGGTGGCAGCTTTGAGGCCCGCATTGACGGACAGGAGTACATGTTGAAGAACTACGAAAACGTTGTAGGCTACTCGCAGGACATGTTGGAGCGTTTTCTGCACCGTTGGTACGACCCTGGGCGCAGTTATTTTGTCTACGGCGGTCACGGAATGGGTGACTACCTGGAGCTGGAGGAAAACAAGGTGGGATTACAATGCCACGAACTGGCAGCGATATTTGGAGACAAAAAGTTTGAGGCGATCACCTTTGACGCATGCTTAATGGCAAGCCTGGACTGCGCTTATCATCTGCGGAATAACACGCGTTACATTGGCGCCTGTGAGGGATACTTGTGGGAGCCCGACACAAGCCTCGACCATCATGTCTTCAACACGTACACCGCCTCCGCGATGAGCCGCTTTCGTGATCCGAAGCACATTCTTTTAGCCGTGCAGCGTGACTACTGCAGCAAATCTTCACTTGCTGACTTTGCCGTGCTGGACACCACGCATGTAGAGGCTTTGCGGAGTTATGTGGAAGAGCACGTGATGCAACGTGTTTACGACCGTGCCACTTTTTATAATGTCCAGCAGCAGCAGAAATTAAGCTACATGGCGGAGGAAGCATTGCAACTCAGCCGGCAAAATTCGAATACTGACATCAAGATGCCAGCTTCATCATCATCATCGTCATCTCCTGACACGGTAGCCATGCGAGCGATGGCGACTAAGTTGCAGAACAAACGGTTGGCAAGACGTTCCAAGCTGCAGCATGCGGTTCAGTTTGAGCACGCCTTGTATCCATCTGAGCCGGGCGACAAGTACATCCTTGACCTTCGTTCCTACCTGATCGATATGGCGCGTGAGGAGGAGGAATTAGCTATCGCCTCCCCGTCACCGCGAACTGCCGTTGTGGAGGCACATGGGAGTTTGCCAAATGAAAAAAAGCATCTCCACCCGCGGTTTGCCAAAGGCAGCGCACACGAGGGACTGGACTTGTTTCATCGCGTAGTCGTCAATCACATACCCCCTGAGGAAAAGCATATATACGCGTCACACCTGGGGGGCCTGTCTATTCCAGTATATGAGTTTAGTTCCATGTCAAAGCCGCTGATGCCGTGGAATCGTGTAAACCGACAAATATTCAAACAAAAGGCAAACGAATTTTTGCGTCGTGGTGTCATGCAGGAAGTGAAGATGAACCAGCGCACCCACAGCGGTTTGCGCGAAACGGAAAGTCGCAACTCGTCATCATCGCCATCGACGGGCTCACCAGGTCCAACCATATATCTCCCAATTTCAGGGTACTCCGGCAACAGCAACAGCAATCGAAACAAACCCGGTAGCGGAAACTTGCCGGGGTCGCAGCACTGTGAGGCGAGACGATGATGGTTTCCATGGCCTTTGTTTTTGTTTGCAACAAGATGAGTCGTAAAAAGTGAACAAAATTAACCAGCACAGAAGAACATTAAACATTTGTGTATGAAAACAGAGTTATGGAACAAAGGGGAAGGCTTTGAGTGTGTGTTGTCGCGGGCAATTCTTCAATTTATTCACGTAGAAGCTTGTTACTGGATTTCTGGTGATGATATTGGAAGAATTATCTGTGTTTTCCCCTTCCTTATTAATTTTCACAGGACTGTTGTGAAGTTTCCCGTTGGATTGATGGCATGAAGCACAGAGGAGAAGTTTTTTTCTTTTTTTTCTTTTTTATGTGGCAGAGTTACTTTGCCTGAGTTCTTTGGCTACCAACGGGGTTTTTCCTTTCATGCGACGTGATTTCATTACAGGAATATGCAGGGATGTTGGTTGCCTTGGAAGGTGTTCTACCGGCATCTGTTCGCTCGCGGGTTTTTTTTTTTGCGGAAGCCCCGCTGTACAAAAAGGCGCAAGGCGAATCACAGCATTATTTTACTTTTCTCCGTTGTTTCATTTTTATTTATTGATTGATAAATTTTTTCCTTTTTTTTTTTTTTTTTATCTCCCAATCACTCACTTTCTGTATTTTTATTTCTGTATATTCGTGTCCCTTTTGTTGTTGTTGGTCTTGTGTTTTGGTTTCTTTTCGTACATAGAACACTTCCTGCGTAAGGCGAAATAAACTTCACGATCCAATTGGCGGCCTTTGGGTGAGTTTTGTATCTTTTTTTTTTTTTTTTTTCTTCTTCTACGCCGTCAGGACATGCTTTCACTGTATCTTCTACATCACGCAGCATGTTGCCCGGTCAGGGCTGCCGCTACAATGTACCATGTGAGACACTGTTTTTTTTTTTTTTTTTCATTGTTGTTTATTACCATTTTGTATACTGGACTGATGTTTTGAATTGATGCGCGGTGGGTGGGTGCTGCTGTTTCTCAACATTTTTTTTTTTTTTTTTCTCTCGCTATGTATTTGCATTTATTTATGTATATATGTGTGAGTGTATGAATGTATGTTTTTTCTTTTTTTTGGCTCTGTTCTTTTCCTCTTTTTTTTTTCCTTGTTGTTTTACAAGGAGTGTGGAGGCCCCAAAACCCGCGAGGGCGGGGAGGAGGCAGCGGAGACGTCAAGGAGTCAATGACAAACGGGGGGTGGAGAGGGGAAGGTCGACGACTTTCCCGCGTGCGCAGGTTGCGCGCAGTGGCGGGGTGTATGTGTGTGTGGGGACCCTCTCAGGTGAAATGGGCATAAAACGGGGGGAAACAGACAACTAGACAAAAAGGAAAAAAGAAAAAAGGAGGCTGGGAGCATGTGATGGTTGCTTGTCGCGTATCTGCGGCTTCTTTTCTTTTTCTTTTTCTTAATTATTATTATTATTATTATTATTATTTTAGTTATTTTGCATTTTTTAACTTAAAAAAGCGGTAGGAAGAGAGACGATGTCGACGCAAACCAATTTGGCCTTTGCTGGCTATGACGTTGAGGGAGGAGAGGTTCTTCTTAAGGATGCGTTGGGGATGCTCCATCATTTACAACCGACGTGGAAGAGGATTGAATTAACAAGTGAAAGCATACAGAGTAGGGATAATAATGACGATGATTGGGAGGGGGAGAGTTTTACAGAGTCCTATTGCACTGATAGTTACGTGAGTAGTGCCAGCACATACACATCTAGTGAAAACGGAGGCAGTGGATCCATTGAAAATGGGCTTGCAAAGGTAAACGCCAGGGAGGGAGAGACGGCGTGTGACTGTAAAGCGTCATGTGAAAATGACATGGAAAGTGCTGTGGCACCTGTGCACGGCACCGTACTTACGCTGAAAGAACCTTACACTAGAGAAGAGGAACTGTTGTCGATCTGCTTTCTGGGGACTGAAATCACAGCTGGGGATTTAGAGAACTACAAAACCGTGGTTGTTTTGGGCTACAATGAGGAGGGGGATGTGTTCTTGTTACCCATGCCGACTTTGGTTTTGAAAGAGGGCGTGTGCGTTTACCATTGCCTGCCGGCTCCACAGCTTGAATTGAGAAAGCTGTACCGGTACTATGATTGGGTTAAAAACACGGAAGACAACTCACACAGGGATACTGTGTCCTTAAAACTACCGCTTGGGAAAGAGTCTATGAATTGCCCTCAACTGGACCGGACCTCGCTACGCCATGTTTATGATGTCTTTGCAGACCGTGTGTACTATCTCTCTGCGTGGTCGGCCCACGTAGAGTTTGTAGGTGTTGCATGGGGAGTGCCGTGGGTGAAGGTCATTGCGGTGGAAGGTGAGACTGGCGGCACGTCTCCTGTTTCTGGGGAAGGGAATAATTTTTGTTCTTACATTAAACCCCTTCATTTGTGCCATGACAAGCGTCAATTGTACGAGGCGTATGGACTTTGTGAGAGTGGGCAAATATTGGAGAAACCAGGCACTTTGACTTCTTCTGCTTCACCCGCTGCCGAATTGATGGATAAAGATGAGAATTTAGAAGGAGCCCGGAGTCAGGTTGAACATGCTTTTGAAGATTCTCCTGATCCTAATTCAAACCTTGGCTCCTCCTCTCAATGTGCGGACTTCACCCCTCGCAGTTGTTCAGAGGCATTGGAGGAGCCCAGTCAAACAGATGGTGGCGCAATTGCGTTACAATCACCATTTGTTGTTTATGGCGATTGTGTAACTTGCACTGAGACATGTGGTAATAGTATGGATTGCGACGCTACGCCGACAGCCCTTGAACGTTTCGGTGTATTGCACGGTGACCGTCTAGTGGGGGTGGACGGTACGGCCTTTGAGGGGCGGGAGGCGACGGTACTTGGTGTTTATACAGGGTGGCTTGTTTTGCTGGTAGATGGAGAAAAAGGGGCGACTGTGCTGCGCAGCGTTCAGGAAGAGGACGAACTCCTGTCTCTGTTCAATAAGATTTGTTCCCCTCACTCAGATAATAAAACTGAGGAGGAGGCTCGCCCAGCGAAGGACAAGCAATCGATCTATTCATCACCTCCGGACCACAGCGATAACGGCAATGACAATGACAGTGATGATGGATATGATGATGATAATAATGGGGAAGATGATGATGGTGTCATCCACCCACTTGCGTCTTTGGAGGGAACTGCAGCCGCGGCAGCGGCGGAGCAATGTGGAGGGGAAGGAATGGAAGGAGGTGAAGCAGGTAACTCTGACAGGACGAGTGCACCGCAGTCATTATTTTTTACCTCCTTTTTGAAGGCTGTGGCTTACTGGAGGACGCAGTTCCTCTCTGAGGAGGATCAAAAGCAACAACCTCTTGCGTTTGTCAATTATTACGGGACGGATACTCAACGACGCATGATGGAGGCCGTTGACCTCTTTCAAAGGCACAAGAATCTTTTTGATGTTGATTCTGCTGATTTTGGTGCAGATACGTATTTGCGTTTAAACGCCTTTAGCTGTGCAGCGGAGAGACAGCCCATGAGTGTGCACCGCATCGTTCAGCTGCTGGTCGAAAACGAGAGCACTTAGTAATTATGAGGCTTGCCCTCTTGGTGTGAGGGTGGGGATGTGTCTTGCCGTACATTCGTGCCTGAGTGGAGACTACGGGCCGCGAGGGGAACGTGATAGAAAGACTAAAAGAAGTACAGAGGGTGGTTTTGTATTGGTGTATTTTTTTCTCTTTAAGTGTATTTGCTTGTATGTGCCTTTACAATTTTTTTTCTGTGGCTTGTGTCTTTTGGGCTGTCTGGCTGGGAGAGGTGGGACGGGAGGGCGCTGCCCAACTGTTTTCAGCGCGTCACGCAACCGAGTGAAGGGGAGGAGAGAGAGAGAGAGAGAGAAAAAAAAAACAATCAAAATTGAGGACAGACCAGAGAGAATAAACAGCGACGAAAAGGCGCGATGTCTGTGCTTAAGGCGGAGTTGCAGCGGGAATTGCCGCCCCACCCAGAACCAAACATGCTGGACCTTTACATGACACGGTATGACTACGACTACAATCGAGACATGGGCGAGGCGGGCACCGGGGAAGGCACATCTGGTGACGACGACGAAGGCAGTGTGAGTGGTGATGTGCGCAATCGACCCATCTTTCGCTTTTGCCAGTCACTGGACGGTTCCAACAACACAACTTACCTCACAGACTACGTGCGTCATGAAAGGGGTGTGAAGGATCTTACAGGTCTTTTGCGCACGGCATGTGGGGAGCATGATGTGGCCTCCGCCTTTGTGAAGGATTACTATCCCCCGGGCTTGAGGAAGCACGCCACGGAGAACGGTGCCCACCCAATTTCTGTATATAAAACAGATTACACACACAGCGGCCGTGTCCCTAAGGGCAAGCCAAGCCTTTATGCTGGCTCCCGCACCGCTGCATTTGACCCAAATTTTCTCCTTATCCCAACAACAGAACAGGACCTTAGGGCGGAAGCGGTTTTGCCGCCAAAGATCACATCCAAGGAGTCTCTCCTGCCGAAGATTTGCCCGTCAGAGGACAAACACAGTAAAGAGGGAACTTTGTTCGCGTCGCGCAGGCCACAGCTGACTATTGCGGATGGACCACCGACGGACTACTATTGCACGTCGTGGGTGTACGGTGACAGGAGCCTAGCCTACCCGAGCCAGTTACCACGTAGCATTGAGGAGTCCCCTAATGCGCACCTCATAGGAACGATGGACGACAAGGCAGCCTTGCTCTCTCTCCTTGCGGGGAAGAAAAAGAGGGTTGGCAAACCCTACCCGATGGAAGACGAGACAAATCCCATTCCAATTCGGAAGATTGAGCAGCCCTACTGCGGGGTGACACGACGGCTTGAAAACGAAGGACACGTCAATATGAGCATTTACCGAAGTGACCACATCCATCAAGGAATGTTGCCGGAGCTGCCGGACGCGGTGGCGTTGGCTGGAGCTGATACGGCGGGAGCCGGTGGGGAACGGCGGTTGGCATGCGCGGGGGAGATGTTAGCAGGTACTCTCACGCGCTATACAAAGAAGATTCATTCCCTGCGCAACTCCCATGGCAACCTTTTGAAGGAAAATCCTGACCCGAAGATTGTAGACCCATATACATGGAGACAAATAAAATCCATTGAGAAGCGTATTGCTGTGGACAAGGCGGATCCACATCGTCACAAATTGCATTAAATGAAAAGTGGTGTGTTATCTCTTAAACCCAGGAAGAATATAAAGAATGGAAATTGCCACTGAGAACAAAAACAGGCAATCGCAGGACGAGGGGAAACCGTTTCATATTTATGTATATGCGAGTACTCTCTCAGTGTTTCTTCTTCTTTTTGAATGCATGTGTATCTGTGATGTAGAGTAGGAGCCATCATGTACAAATTTGGAAGGATAATGCAACGCTGTTCTTTTTTTTTTTTTTTGTGTGTGTGTGTGTGTGTGTGTGCGGGGTCATTTGGGATAGACGGGGTGTCGTTGGTGGATTCCGTTGCGGGTTTACCTTCTCTTCCTTTTTTCTTTTTTCTTTAACTGCCTTCAGCTGGAAAAGCGAGTGCAGAGGAGGCGAGCCAGCAAGAAATACACATTATTTGATAAATTTCTCTTTACCTGAGGGGGAACGAAGGATTAATATTAGTGGTGGAAGTACTAGTAAAAAAAAAAAGATGACTGCGCTTGCGCGGCGTGTGCAGCAGGCAGCGGATTTTATTTACCGTGCACGTCAAGAGGAGACGCCGGACGGCAATCCTCTCGTGGCTGCGCGCAATTACATTACCGCCATGGAGACCATTGCCGCGGTTGCCGACGAGGTTCCGACGAAGGACGTCAATGAACGGCGTTTTCTTTTGCACCAACTTCGTCAGCGAATGGAAATGTACTACGAGCGTGCGGAGCTTTTGCTCGGCGTGGCCGAAGAGTCCGGCCTGGTGGATAAACCCACAGCGGAGGGCGGCCTCCCCATGGCCCCGCATTTCCCTAGAGGCGATGGTCACGTTGCGTCTTTCACCACGGCGGCAGCTTCGGCATGCGATTCTGTGATGGGCATTCCGCTCTCAGCAGGGGAAGGCAACTCCAACGTGCCACACACGGGGCCACCGATGCAGTATTATTTCTCCGAGCCACCGCCGGTACCGCCAGCGGCACCGCCGCCTGTAGAGGCCGAGGATCCCCTGGAGGCATTAATCAAAACAATGAGCTTTGATGACGAAAAGAAGGATTGACTTTGCCAGCACAAAAAGGACAAAAATCCAGAAGAATATCAGGGAAGGTGATGTTGCAAAGTAGGACCTGACGCATATGCTTTACTTTTTTAACGTTTTTTTTTTTTTTTTCTATTTATTATTTTTTTTTTTAAATCTTTTATTATGACTGTCTTGGTCTCGGTTGGAGTTTGGGTTGGTCTTATGCACTTTGCTTCTTTTTCTATTTTTGCCTACCCTATGCTTTTCAAAAAAGGGTGTTTTATTTTCACGCTTCTCACGAATGACGACAATCGGTACGTACAACGAGGAGGGTGTTAACGTGGACCTGTACATCCCACGCAAGTGCCACGCGACAAACAACCTTATCACGTCATACGACCACTCCGCCGTGCAGATTGCCATTGCGAATGTGGACGCCAACGGTGTGCTAAACGGCACGACGACAACCTTCTGCATTGCTGGCTATCTTCGTCGCCAGGCTGAGTCTGACCACGCAATCAACCACCTGGCGATTTCGAAGGGCATTATCCGCATCAAGACCGGCAAGAAGCCTCGCGCGAAGAAGCTTAAGAATGTGAAGGGCCTTGGCGTACGCGGCTTACCAAGGGGTGCTCTGCAACAGAGGGGAGCTCGTGTCCTCCCAACCCAGAGGGGTGTCGCGCAGCGTGGCGGCGCTCAGAAGGGCAACGTCCGCAAGCTGCAGCCACAGCCGCAGAAGCAAAGGTCACAGCTGAATCAAAGGTCACAGCAGCAGCACGGCGCCCGGCCGACCCGGAAGGAAGAGGGCGGTCGCACGCAGCGTGGTGGCAGGGATGCGCCTCAAGCTCGCAAGCAGCAAGGCAGGAACGAGCCTCAAGCTCGCAGGCAGCAAGGCAGGAACGAGCCTCAAGCTCGCAAGCAGCAAGGCAGGGATGCGCCTCAAGCTCGCAAGCAGCAAGGCAGGGATGCGCCTCAAGCTCGCAAGCAGCAAGGCAGGGATGCGCCTCAAGCTCGTAAGCAGCAAGGCAGGAATGCACCTCGTTCCCAGAAGGCATAGGGTGTTGCTTGCAGTGTGACGGAACGGATGCCGCGGGGTGGCCGTTTGTTGGAAAGGAGAGGTTGTGTCAACGGAAGAAAAAAAACCCGATTTTCTTTTGTTTTTTTCTTTTGAAGGTAAATAAATATTTTTTTTTTCGGTGGCTTTGGGCGGCACGGTCCCTTGTTTCTTTCTTACCGATTTTCTCTTTTACCGCTGCTTTCTTTTTTGTTCTTGTAAAATTTTTTTTTTTTGTCGGCTTTACTTAATTTTATTTTTTTTGAAGGGTGCTGTCTTCCCCTTTTGTTTGCCACGCTTCTCACGAATGACGACAATCGGTACGTACAACGAGGAGGGTGTTAACGTGGACCTGTACATCCCACGCAAGTGCCACGCGACAAACAACCTTATCACGTCATACGACCACTCCGCCGTGCAGATTGCCATTGCGAATGTGGATGCCAACGGTGTGCTAAACGGCACGACGACAACCTTCTGCATTGCTGGCTATCTTCGTCGCCAGGCTGAGTCTGACCACGCAATCAACCACCTGGCGATTTCGAAGGGCATTATCCGCATCAAGACCGGCAAGAAGCCTCGCGCGAAGAAGCTTAAGAATGTGAAGGGCCTTGGCGTACGCGGCTTACCAAGGGGTGCTCTGCAACAGAGGGGAGCTCGTGTCCTCCCAACCCAGAGGGGTGTCGCGCAGCGTGGCGGCGCTCAGAAGGGCAACGTCCGCAAGCTGCAGCCACAGCCGCAGAAGCAAAGGTCACAGCTGAATCAAAGGTCACAGCAGCAGCACGGCGCCCGGCCGACCCGGAAGGAAGAGGGCGGTCGCACGCAGCGTGGTGGCAGGGATGCGCCTCAAGCTCGCAAGCAGCAAGGCAGGAACGAGCCTCAAGCTCGCAAGCAGCAAGGCAGGGATGCGCCTCAAGCTCGCAAGCAGCAAGGCAGGGATGCGCCTCAAGCTCGCAAGCAGCAAGGCAGGGATGCGCCTCAAGCTCGTAATAAGAAGAGCGGCCCGAATCGAAAATAGTGTTCTTTATTGGATGCTTTTCATGTCGAGGCTTTTTGAGGTGACTTCGGGGATTTCCTTTATTGTGCCTGTTTTCGCACCTTTTCTGCGGCGCTTTCGCCACTATAATTCTGGCGGCGGCAAAGCAGCGGGGTGTGATCCGCCGGAAGGAGACCATTGGGGAGGGACGCATGCCATTTATTTTATTGTTGTTTTTTATTCTTTTCTGTTTCTGTTATATCAGCCCGAACATATGTGTGTAGGGATGCTCACATATTTTTGTAACCTATGAGGGGTGCTGTTTCTGGCCTCTTTTTTTTTTCTTTTAATGAAGAGTGAGAGGGGCCTTTCCCCCCTGCATCTGCCGTTTTTTTTTTACTTTATTTTGGTTTTTCATTACGTAGGGACTGTATTCTTCTTTTTTTTGGTAAAGAGGATGGCCTGGAATGCGTGGCGGCCGCTGGGCACTCCCTCGAAGCAATCCCAGATTTCCATGGACCTTTTTGATAAATGGAGAAGTGAGCAGAACATGTCCATTGCAGACCGTGGGAGTGATGCAGATCCCGCAAAGGAGGAGGAGCATAATTCCTTCATGATGCGCCAAAATCTGAACGCGTACATCTGTTACAAACAACTTGATGAATACACATCTTGTCTAGCGAAGCACCATATTATTGAACATACCGACAGGGGGCATGAGATCAACACAAAGAACAACATCAATGAGAGGAAATGCCGCGGCACACATAAATCCTATGTGGCATGTATGGGCTCACAGAAGAACCAGGAGACCCTCTTGCACAGTGCTGTATTGCACAACAACTGTAGAGAGTTTCATGCGGAACTGATGTGTTGCTACGACAAAAACCGTGAATTGGAGACGGAAACGTCAGAGCCACTGTGTATTCCTTTCTATCGCGGTTTGCTACGTTGTGGGCTGAATCATCTATGGAATGACTATTGGCGTGCCTTGACAAGGTTTGGTGAGGCGGAGGAGTTTCATCTCTACGAGCTCTCCCGAGACGACAACAAAAAGCAGGAATTTCTACGTGTAATTACTTCGACGGTGGAGCAACAACAGGAGTACTTGAGAAAACGACGTGAGCAGGAAAAGGGATATTTTCTCCCACGCCCAGACAAGGAGATTGAAAGCAGCGACGAGAAGATGAAAGCAGCAGCGGCGGTGTTGGCACAAGAGCGACAATGACCGTGTTGAAATTTACATTTTTCACAAACATTTCCGCTCTTTGCCTCTTCTTTTGTGTGAGCGGGTGGATTAATGAATAGTTCCAGTTGTCACGGGCTTGATTATTATTATTTTCCCTTCTGCATCTGCTATCAACCTTATTATTATTTTGTCGCTTACCCTTCTATTTTCTTACATGTTCTGCTGCCTCATGTTCTTAACAGGCGCAAGTGGAGAGGAAAGGGGAGGAAATTGGATACGGCAGGGAGCAGGATGGAGATTTTGCTTCTGGCTACTCACAACCTGCAGCTGCTATCGGATTCGGGCGGCATTTGTGCTGTGCCAAAGAAGTCTTCAGATAATTCAGAGAAGTGGAATGAGTTGCAACCGACTTACGTACGCCATGGGTCTGTAAATAATTACAAACGCTGCCGACTGAGGGCTTGTTTTTTTTGTAAAAATGACGGAAATATTTTGTCTTTAGAAAGTGAGGCGAAAAGCGCGAATGGTGGCAATACTCCTATGATTCTACTTTTGCCATTGGGTCGTGATCCGGTGGGAAACAGTGCTGTAATAACCTTCAAGATGGCCGCCCAGGGCCCTCTTTTGTCTCGTAGTCATTGTGTGCTGCAACTCAGTAGTAGCCGTTTGTTGCGTATTTCACACGATCCGCATGAGTGGTGTGCCATCAGTGTGCGTGATTGTTTTAGTTTGAATGGCACGTTTGTGAATGGCCGTCGCTTGGCATCTGGCGCCTGTTCCCCGCCGGTGGCTTTTAATCCTTGCAATGTCCGGTCGTGGAAGGAGCCGCTGATGACGCTGGGACTCGGTGCCGGGGCGAAGCTTTCCGCTGGGGAGTCTCTTTTGGAGAAACAATTATTTTTGCGGTTTGATGTGTTTGTGCGATTTGTGGGTGAGAGAAAAGACGTCGGGTTGATCCGGCGCTGCCTGGAGGGGTCCTGTCTTGCCAATTTGGGGACCAAGGATGCCGCAACATGTTTTTTGCGTGATGGAAATTCCGCTTGTCGTTTGTTTTCAGAGCCAGTGCCAGTCAACATTAGGAAGGATGTGCTGGTAAATGAGGAATGTGTGGATAATTTACAGGCCGAGGAGGTTTTGACTTTTCTGTGTGAAAATTGTAGTGCGGCGGCGAGGCGAATCCAATTACTGAATGCTGCGAAGGCACCTGGTTCCACCACTGATGTTCACCAACACATTCCACTTGCGTGCAGCACCATCAATAATAGTCGTCAATGCTTGTACTCCACAATTTTAACTTGCCGTCATGAATGTGGAACGAATAACGATGACGCGGAGACGCTTACATGGAGGCCTGCTTCTCCCAATTGCACCAGCGATCTGCCCCTCCATGCGTCTGAGCATCCCACAGAAGTTGGGGCCGAAAAGGGCGAAACACGGGGGAACGAGAGCATGGCGATTTTTCTCACGAATAGGCGCTTTGGAGACGGCTTGCAGGGCTCTTTACGTGATGTTTTATTGACGCCACACAAGGTGGGATCAAAAAATGTTTTCGAGAGAGGTAAAGAGGAACCCGGAAATTATGCCTCGTCAGGGATTGCTTCCAATTCGACAAAAGCGGTGACACATTCTCTACCGGGTCCTTGTCGTGACGGCTGCAAACACAATTATTTTTTGAGAGAACCACCGTTGGATCTTTCGCCGGTTCTCGTAAAGAAGAAGTTGTTGGCGAAGTCTCCTTTGCTAGAACCGCCAGCAAAAGAAGATTGCATGACAAATAATTGTCGTTTGGTGTCCCCTTTCGAAGAAATGCAACGTAATGAAGGGGCCAATGTGATCTTCCCGACGAGAAAGCCACCAAAAGTAATTGAGACCACAAATGCAGGTTTGACGAAAGAGAAGGATAAACTGGCGGAGGCGTCGAAAGCGGTGCAACAACAGCTGTCAACAATTCATACAGAGATGGAGCAGGTATTGAGCTGGAGAAGCGGGATTGACTCTTTGCCGTCGTCCCAAGACGACCGAGCGATAATACTGCCTAGACACGGCATAATGAAAGAAGAAGGGGAGGGGGAGTTGGTCCCATACGACGGGCTTATCACAGTAAAAAAATCACCCCCACTATGTGACCTTGCTGCGGGTACGGGTCAGGCGGAGTGGCAGGCTCAAACAGCGAAGAAACGAGGTGTCAAGCGGAAACGCGTTGTTGATATGAAGGAGACAATGAAAATGTTTCTGGCGGAATTGATTGCTGGTACTGATGGCGCCTCTCCAAATGAGTAAGATCGGACATTTTCTAAATTTTGTATCAGGACTGAATTTCTTTTAGCCATCTCGGCGTCTGGCGTTGCGATAATAATTATGGCGCACTGGCGAGAAACAGGGTTCTTTGCATAAATGCGTTTTGGCGACAATGGGCGGGGATAATTTTGTGGACTGTTGGCGAATGGTCATAATATCGATTCCATGTGGTGTAATTGTACCCCCGACGAAAGGGTTGGGAAAAAAGTTTGTTTTTGGGCATGTTTCTGTGTGTGTGTGTGTGTAGGTTTTTTTTTTGAATGTACTGGGACTGCAGAGGCCACTTGGCGTTTGTACATGATGGCGACTTCTTTTTTTTTTGTCTTTTTGTTTTTATTCCGCTCGTTAGGTACATCTTTTCCGTACGGTGTGTTGTTTTTTGTCTTCACCTCATCATTTTTGTTGACAGTGACCGACTTTTTTGTCCGCCTGAGAAGAGAAGGCGAAGGCCATTTAGTTCTGTGGACGATAGGAGCACCATCATGAGCCTTGAGGACCGCGGGGTTGTCGCAATATGGGAGGGGGAGTGGCTCTGGCTGAGGCGGCAGCTGTCCACGGTGCGCCAGACGGTGTGGATGTTTGGCGCCCTTTTGGGGCCCGTCTTTGACTTTGCTGCCTACTTGGCCACCGCCAAGGTGTGCGTAGCGCGGGCCGACCGTTTTGTCACGGAGCAGACATTACTTGCCAGCGAGCAACTTCGTCGGCGTCATTGGATCCTGCCGGCGATTGGCATCACCTCAGCAAGTCTCTTTGTGTTGTTTAAGAGCTCACCGTGGGGAACATATCGGGCTTTCCGCAACGGCGCTGTCACGGCTGCATTGCTCACGTGTTTCCTTCTGCCGCGGGAGATCATCGATGCCGTCGACGCCGAGTTACCATTTAGCACAAGAGACACACGCGGTGTGGAGGAAAACGCCAGGGACATACGTGAAAAGTAGCGCTTTTGAAAAACAGTTGTTTTCGTAGTGCAGTTGTTGCTCACTTTTTATTACTGTTTCCCTATTTTCAATGTACGCACACATTTTTTTTTTTTTTTTCCTTTGCGAATTGGATGACGCTACTGATGCTGAGGATATATACATATATATAGGAATAAAAACTTGCCAAATGTGAGGGGGTAGGAGGGAAGGCGTTGATTTTCGTGTGTGTGTGTGCGAGGGAATTAACTTATTGTGTGTGTGTGTGTGTGTGTGTTTTCCCCCTCCTTTTTCATTCAGTTATTTTATTTTTTACCACGAGTATTTTACAAAAGAGAGAGCAGCGTTGAGTTTGGGAGCAACGACACCGGCAGAAAAAGGGGGTAAGAAGAAAGGGGGAAAGGGGAAATCAAAAATTCAGGGCTCATGTCTGCATTAGAAAGTGTACTACAAAGGGTGCGGGTACGGGTGGCTCAACGTCGACTGCGGCTTGATGATTTCTTTGCGGACTTTGACTCACTTCGTTCCGGCCGTATTACAGCCGCGCAGTTCCGCCGCGCTTTGGCCATCAATTCTATTCAACTCAGTGACGCAGAATTTGAAACACTCACAAGTGCCTTTGCTGCTCTCCCGGCGAACAAGACGACGGGCAGCAGGACTCCACGCGGAGAAGCTTCGAACGATGTGAATTATGTGGCCTTTCTTCATGCTTTGCGGGCGGAGGATCCACCGGCAGAATTGCTGACGACGCTGGGACGCAAGGGAAAGGTGCTCTCGGATGAAGAGGAACGCACATTGGAGACGACCTTCCGCTCGCTGCATTACGCTGTACGGGTGCGTGGGATACATTTACGAAAGTTGTTTGAGGATTTTGATCCGTTCCGCAGCGGAAAAGTTTCTGCCTCACAATTTCGACGGTGCCTGCCATTTGAGGGGCTGCGGGATGACATATTGAAGCTCATTATAAAGAAGTACGGTGACGAGGATGGGGGCGTGCTGTACGCCGCCTGGTGCAGGGACATTGAGGCCTCTACCTCCTTAAAGGAGGAAAGACTTTCCGCGAGCATCTCGCCGCATATTTCCCCACATGGGGTTGCCGCGCCGCTTTCCCTCGATGAGCTTTTGTCGGTGCTGCGCTCGCAGTTTTCAATGTATCGTCTGCGGTGCGACGATTTCTTGAAGGCCTATGACCATTTCAAGACGGGATTTGTTACGGCCCCGCAGTTCGAGTCAGCTCTTGGGCAGCTGCGGTTTGTAAACTTTCACCTTACGGCAGAGCACATTGACACGCTGACGCGGGCGTATGCAGACGCCAGGCTGGGGGGCACAGTTAGTGGAACAAACGAAGAGGTTTTTCCGCGCGTCAACTACGTGCAGTTTCTTGCCGACACCAACCCACGCCGTGAAGACGCTACGCCAGGTTTAACAAACTACTATGAGATGACCAGGACCCCTGGCCAATTTCTCAGTGAGATTGACGCTGATGAAAAGGAGCGTGCGGAGTTTGTGTTGAATAAAGTGCGCCGTCTTGTCCAATCGAACCGCATTCATTTGATTCCAACCTTGCATGACTTTGATCGAGTGCGTAAGGGCATTTATGAACATCGAACATGCACTCAGTCACGCTTTGTTCGTTCTCTGGCCACCAATAAAATATTCCTCTCCCCGGAGGAGATTTCTCTTCTTGTGAAGTGGTACCTTATCCGCAATGCAGACGGCAGTCCCAGCGACGAGGTAAACTACTACCAGTTTGTTATGGACGTGGACAATAGCCACAGTTTGCAACTGACTCCAGCGCGTTTAATGCGGTCGACTGGGATGGGAGAGCTGCAGAACCAGAAGGGCGGCTCCTATTCACGGCCTGCTGATACATTATCAGAAGTTCTTGCAAAGGTGGCGATGCAGGCCGAGGAGCGACACCTCCGCGTTAATGAGTTTTTCATCGATTTTGACCCTTTGCGCAGCGGCATAGTACAGACCGAGAAATTTTCGGTGGCACTTGGCATAGCTGGGTTACAGTTGCATCCACAGGAAATTGAACTGCTGCAAAGAGAGTACAAGTCGACGAAGGCGCGTGATCACGTCGACTTCGGCCGATTTATCACCGACATTGGAGAATTTGCGCCAACGGCGGTGCCTTCAGTCACAACGAAGTTCAAATTTACGGCATCCCAAAGCACCAAAGGAGCTCTCAGTGCGATTTCTAAAGATGCGCTTTATAACCCTACCGAGAAACTCACGGATGCGGAACGTGAATTTCTTCCACGGCTTCTCGCCCGTCTTTCACACGACGTCGCCACGCACCATGCCATGCTGACCCCTTTTTTTTCGGACTTTGACCGCCTGCACCGCGGGAAGATTACGAAATCAAACTTTTTACGAGCCCTTGCACGTCATCGCTTTGTGTTGTCTCCGGCCGATACAAGTCTTCTGTCACGCTATTACGCGTCACCCGAGGATGCAGAGCTGATTGAATATACACGATTTGTCCGCGACGTTGGTCAAGGCGAGATGGAGCTAGGGATCCGGGAGAAGAAGACTGGGGTATCGAGCTCTGGTATGAATGACACAATGATGCTGGGGACCAACACCGCATCTGTGTGCTTGGGTGACGGCTCCCCACACGGGGCTACTGTGGACGAAGAAATTGTGGAACGTGTTTTGACAAAAATCTGCTGCTTTTTGCAAGAACGCAAAGCCCGGTTATCTGAGTTCTTTCCAGATGGTGATGAACTGCGCCACCGTCATGTGACAAATACCCGATTTCGGCACTGCGTGTCAATTCTGGGCCTTCATCTCACGGAAGCGGAACTGCAGGCGCTTGAGGCGGCCTTTGCCCACAGTGAACTGAAGGGGCATGTCGACTACCCGGCGTTCTTCTCGGTTGTGTCAGAGAAACTCCAGGCAGGTGTAGGCATCATGGCGGTCACGCAGCGTCGTCGCGGGTTGTACACAGCCACCGATACTGCCGCCGTACCTGCAGCGGTGCCGGCGACCGGAAAGTCCGTCGCCTTAAAAGGGGAGGCGGCGTCTGGATTTGGGAAAAGCATCAAAATTTTAGAGGATTCGCAGGCCGAACTGTATCAGTCGGCAATGGATAAGGTGCGTCGCACTCTGGCATCGCGTCGTTCTGTCTCTCTTTCTGCCTTCCGCCAGTATGATCGAGCGCGCAAGGGTTTTGTGAAGGAGGGGCAGTTCTTCGCGACTCTAATGTCTCTTGGCGTGCAGTTGACCCCGGCGCAGTCGGATGCCATCCGGAAGGTGCACAGCATAGGTGGCGGAGAGATGGGCTACACGAAATTTTCTCTTGCCACGGACGATGAGCGGTTTGCCTAAACGGTCTGTGAGACTGCGGAAGACGAAGGAGGGAAAAGGGTGGGGAAAAAGCAAAATTGGGTGCAAAAAAAGAAAAGAAAAACTGCAATTTCTAATATATGTACTTGTTTCGTTAGACAAGTGTGTGTTATCTAGCGAGAGTTGCGACTGATATGTATACAACGACCAATTACCTTTTTTTTCGTTTTAGATTATGTCTTTATTTATGTTTTTTCTGTTGTTCTGTCGGTGGGCTTGCCGAGACGACATGCACACCATGTACGATGAAAACAGAGATGTATTTGGCGACAAGCTTTATAATGGTGCTTTGAAAAATGTACCGGGCGTGGGATATCTATCTGTCTCTTCATTTCAGCCACGTATTTTCTTTTTTTCTTTTTTTTTTTTTTTTTAATTTTATTGTCTTTGATATTTTGTTTTTCTGTCATATTTCTCTTTTTTCTTTTTTTTTATTGGAGTGATTTGTTAGATACGTATAGGAGCCGGCGACCAAAGGGATTTGTGTAGGGAAATATAATATCTGAGTCTTGGTGGATTATTATTATTATTATTATTATTGGTAGTGGCAGTATTCCGTGCATATCCGTGTGCACCTGCCCTGACCCATCTTCCTTCTATCTTTTTTTTTTTTTTTTTTTTTTTTTTCTTCCCTTTCTCTCTCCATATTTTTATATTTGATTCCCGTTTTCCCGATTTATGTCTGACGAGGAGAAAAAAATGGTTGGGACTTCGGGTGGGGATTCGCAATTCACCCCCGGTGTTTTACTGCGGGTGCAGTACGCCTGTTATCTGTTTTTTGGCCTGATTCTCACCATGTTGCTGCGCAGTTCTCTTTCGGGGATTTTTAGTCATCTTTCTATTCTTCAAAAGGGCTGCAAGCTCGCTACCAGCGCCTTGAGTGAAGACTGCACTGCGGAGGTACTCGTCTACCGTGTCAGTTTTGCGCTGGCGCTTTTTTTCTTCTTGCACCTCTTGTCTGTTTCGGATCTTACATGCTGCATCGAATCGGAGACACGAGTGGAGTTTCAGAAACGCTTCTTTTATGCGAAAACAATTCTTTTGTTGTTGGTGTTTGTCGCCACTTTTTGGATTCCAAACGGCTTTTTTGCCATTTACGCGTACGTGTGTCTCTTTGCGTCCGCTTTTTTTCTATTGATGAATGTTGTCTTTCTTGTGGACTTCAGTTATCAATGGAGCGATGACTTTGGGCGCCGGAGTGAAAGGTCCAGTAAGTGGATGTGGTACCTCTTTGCTATAGCCGTCTTATCATACTTGGGGGCCATTGGTGTCAACATTGCTTCATATATCATGTACGTTCCCCATTCAGACTGTAACTACAATGCATTCGCAATTACCAGCGTGCTTGTGAGCGCTCTTGTTTTTACCGTTTTATCCGTTTGGATTCCACACGGCTCGATTGTTCCAAGCGGCATTGTGTTTCTGTACTCCAGTGGCATAATGTTTGTTACCCTGCGAACCGGCACCGATGAGTACTGCAACCGCCTTGCTGTGCCCGAAGGCCAAACGAACTCGATCAAACAGATGGTCATTGCGAGTATTGTCAGCAGCTTTGCGCTCGGCTACAGTGTTGTATCTTCTGGAGGCAACGGCAGCGCACTTGGCATTGGCCGTGACGAGGAGGGGGAGGAGGAAGACCCTGACGAGATTGGGCACTTGAGCCAATA